CAGCGTGCAGAGGGCCGCAGTTTATTTTGTATTCATGCGAAACGGAAACTGAAAAAGCCCTGTTTACATATTTACCGGCCCCAGTGACCTCCCACTGGGACTCCATAAGTCACGCTCCAGATTAACTTTGTCATAGAATTGGCTTGGGAGCCGAGGGAGTTGGGACTTCAGGGGGGAACTTGCATGTGTGAGACATATTTTATCAACGAGAGAAAGCTATATTCAATTATCTAATATCGCTGAGGAACCCCCAAAGACTTTCTGAATAGTACCAAAATTGGAAAATTTTTTGTTTTCCGCAGCAGGTGCTGACTGGGAGGAGCATTTGCAAGCAAGCTGGGTAGATTTGCCCTCGGCTAGGTTACCCCATCGTTTCGATTAAGTAAAAACAAAGGGAAGCTGAGGAACAACCCAACTTTAAACTTTCGCCCCCTTTGAGGCTTGGAAGTATGGGACGGGCGGGAGTCTGTGTGTGTGTGTGTGTGTGTGTGTGTGTGTGTGTGTGTGTGTTATGCACACATTTTAGAGGCTAAACTGCAACACATTTTGGGGGGAAAGAAGATATGACTCATTCAGTAAAGTGATATTAGTGGAGATATACTGTCATACAACCCAACACAGTAACTTCCAACATCCCATTCTCAGAAAAAAAATACCAAGACTTTGCTTATAGCCTTTTTAGGTGCATTACTTTTTATTGGCTTATATTAATTATAAGGCTGGGTTTCATTGTGACATTTCACACACATGCCAGGTACTTTGCTTCCATCCCACGGTGGTCCTCTTACTCTTCCCAAACAACCCTCTTCCTACTTAATGTCTTTTTAAAAATCTACTTTCTGAATATGAGAGAAAGTAGATAATACTAGCCCATGAGTCTGGCTTTCTTCCCTTAACACAGAGACCTCCAGGTCCATCCACTTTCTTGCGGAAGACATAGTTTTGTTCTTTATGACTGGGGAAAAAAATCCAATGTATTCATCACATTTTTCTTTGTCCCTTCATCTGTTGATGGTACCTAGGCTGATTCCATATCTTGAGAATAAAATAGCTCCATACAAGGATGTACACGTATCTTAATGGAACCGTGACAGATTCCTCCAGGTATGTCTCTGGGTGTGGGCCAGTTGAGTCATCCTTTTACGTGTTTTAAGGAGCCTTTGTACTGATTTCCACAGTGGCTGTACCAATTCAAAATGGCACCAGTAGTGTACAAGGCTCTCCTCCCCTATTTACCCCTCAAAAGCATTTGCTATTTTTTTTTTAATGTGGACAGAGGTGAGATAGCAATTCACAGTGGTTTTCATTTAATTTTGCTTATATTCATAGTTGTCCCTTCCCCTTGGGATATTTCTAGGTTTTGTGACTCACAACAAATGGGAGTCTACCGCTATGAACATTCCTGTGATATTAACTGTCAGGTGATGAGAACACAGCTCAGAGTCAGCCGGTGTGCTGTGTATTCACTCAACGGCATTAAGCTTTCCGGAGCTTCCTTTTGTGTGGCAGACAAACTTCAAATGAACTGAGGATCATTTTCCCAAGAAACCTTTAAGTTGAGCGATAATGGAAAGTAGTTAGTAGAATATTACACTTTTCATTCGGCAAACAGATGGGATGCCTGCTTTTAGATTTAATCGAGGGTCTGGCAGACAGGTAGGGGTGCCATGTCTTTTAGTTGAAGTCTCTTTCTTTTCAGGAAAGAATGAAACTGCTTAATATTCAGTGCATCCAGCACCCCACCCCCACCACCAACTCCCCAGCACCTCGGCACTGGTAATGCCTAACTTTCATTTCTCAGTCCTGATGACATTACAAAGTACAAAGGTCATCTAACAGCAAGCGAATCCATTTTTAGCAAATCTATTACACTCTTCTTGTCTTACAAAAAAAAATACTGTGTGTGTGTGTGTGTGTTTGAAAAATAAAACACAGGCTTCTTAAAACACAAAACATATCACCCAATCTCCATTTACACAGACACAGACATAAATAAATGATTTAACAATCTGGGAGTCACGAGTCTCTGACCTCATGCTTTCTCAACTTCTTTGAAAAGATTTTGATATCAATTGTTACTCTTTTTTCCCCAGAAGCATAATACACAGTAACCTTAGCACACACAATCATAATACACGGTAACCTTAGCACGCACAATCTGTTTCAAACAGAAGGATACAGACAAGGGCCGTCAATGGTAGATTTTAATGTCCTAGCCAGGCTTATGTTACCTTGCTAGAAATGAAATCTGTCCCCCTCCTCCTCCAAGCTCAAATCCCTGGACACCCCCATCAGAGATCATTTGTTATGCAAAATTCTGCGAGGCGACCAAAATTAATTCACAGTGCTCTTTCCGCCCAGAGCCCCAGTTCCTAATAATGGGCTTTCTCAACAGGTGTTCATTGTACCAGCCTGACTTCAAATTGCCTGACTAAAGGTTTTATTCTTTAGTCATTTCTTTTTTAATCTTGACCTTGTAATTTACTAATCGGCAGCAGCTGCCAAGGAGGGTCCAGCTGTTTACAGGAGGGGACACGTACCACCAAGGTGGCTCAGGCAGAGAAGGAAGCCCCAGTCACTGCAGACAGGAAAGAAGGAGACATTGACATTTTCCATTTGGTGACAAGGACAAAACTCAGGCCCAGACTGTTCTACAAAGTTCCTTCTTGAGCAGTTAGTCTAATAGGTGGTAAGCTACAACCGCTTCTCTTCGGGATGACTTGGGCTACCCTTAGGTTAGGTGTAAATGAATGGGTAAGGAATTTTAACAAAGCAAAAACACCACCAGAAAAATGCTGGATCAAAGAAAGGACTCTTTAAATGACTTATTTTTATTTTATGTACATTGGTCTTTTGCCTGTATGTCAGGTCCTGGAATCAGAGCTACAAACAGTTGTGTGCTGCTGTGTGGGTGCTGGGACTTGAACCCAGGTCCTCTAGAGGGGCAGCCTGTGCTTTTAACCGCAGAGCCTTCTCTCAGCCCCTAGGAAAGACTTTTTTATTTGTTTTTTATTTTTTTAAAGATTTATTTATTTATTATATATGAATATACTGTAGCTGACTTCAGACACACCAGAAGAGGGCATCAGATCTCATTACAGATAGTTGTGAGCCACCATGTGGTTGCTGGGATTTGAACTCAGGACCTCTGGAAGTGCAGTCAGTGCTCTTAACCACTGAGCCATCTCTCCAGCCCCCCG